CTCCCCGAGTGCAGGCAACACTGGTCCCTGCACGTGTAGCCCCCAGCTCTGTGCCAATGCACCCTGCCCTGTGCCCTGGTCCCCATGGTGAATGGCAACTCCTCACATCATCCTAAACATCACAGCCTCACCCAAGGGCCAGCCCACTCCTGCCCCACTGTGGGGCAGTATGCTCAGCCACAGTATTAAAGGTCGGTTCTGACAGCGTTCCTGTCTCCCCACACCTGAGTCATCTATCTCCAGGTCTAGCACAGGGCCAGACAGAGTAGGGATTCAGAAGAGAAGAATCAATCAATCCACTGACTGAATGCCTGGCATTAATGCCACCTGCTACACACTGTCACTTAGTCCCCTCCCCACCACTGACACTTTCCAGAGCTCAACTGAAGGGCCTGGATGTTTGGCTGGAGGGAGGGATGGGCTGGGTGAGGGGAGAGGATGGAGGCTGAGTCACACTGTCTCACGTACATCTTCCGACGTGGAGAGGCCACACCAAGGAGGGCAAAAGGACTTGTTCTATGTGCTCCATCAGGACACAACCCGGTTCACCTGATGGGAGCAACACGAAGGCGAGAGTCTGCCAAGATAGAGATGTTTTTATCAACTGGAACAATCTAGCAATGTTCTGGGTGCCTCTAGAATAAGGAAGCTCCCAATCAAACAGGGCGAGAAGTCCCCTGGGGCAGGAGGAACATACAGAGGGTAGTTTACTCTTGCCTGTCTTCTTCCCAACTAGACTGCAACCCTCTGGAGGTCAGAGGTCATGTCTTACATGCAACTCTGACCCCCACAACCCATCTCAGAGCCTGGGCGTAGGTAGCACAAGGTATGCTCTGGCTGGATAAGGGAACGACCGAATGAATGTCTGCCCTTTGCAGGTCCTTCCAACTCTAAGACTGCAGCACCCTCCATCTCCACCACACTAACCCTGGGGAATGGAACATTCTCTTGGCCCCCCGCAAAAGATCTTTATGCCCACCTGCCTTGACAGTTATCACCTTCCATGACCTGTTACAGTTTGTACATGGCACATCTTCCCTGGTCTTCTGCAGCATTTACCATAATTATGATTAGATTTGTTCCCTTAACACCTGTGAGCAGGGCTCCATGAGGACAAGGACTGTGTACCATGCTGAAAAAGTAGTTGCTGAATGATTGCTTTGGGGACAGAGGAAACAGCATGGACACAGGCATGGAGACAGTATGTTGACAGACACTCGGCCGAGGTGTACCCAGACAGGGTGTGCCAGATGCAGACCAGTCTGCTGTTAAAGATGGGGGTTGTGGGAGTGGGCAGTGTGGCCTGACAGACCACCCGTGGCACTCTACAGTTGACAAAGCCCTCCTGACAGCCATGTGAAGGGCTCTTGTTGCAATCAGAGCATCCAGGCAGGGGTAACAGGCCCCTGGGGAGCACCAGGATGCAGAGCCCTGCTGGGCCACCAAGCCACAGGGCTGGATGGAGCTCACCTCATGGCTCCAGAAAGCCAAGCTTCCAGGGATCATGGTCAGGCAAACCCAACTCACAAGAAAAAGGAGGAGTGCCAGTTTATGACTGTTCTCTCCACTTCCGAGCAGGGGCCCCGGGAGCCAGACCAGTAGCCAGAAGGGCGCTTGAGAGCACAGCATCAGAGTATGAGGAAGTGGGGGGGTGTTGAGTAAATTCAAACCAGGCACTGGCAAGGCCTGATGAACCACACCAAGCCCTAGACAACTCAAGTGACGCAAATGCTCGCTTCCCTCATACAGCCTCCACCCGCATCCTTCTCGAGGGAAGATGTCTTCTGGCTGACTACCCTCTGAAGATACCCATCCAGAAAAGCTACAAAACTTTGTGTAGTCACTAAACTCAGCCACCTGCCTTGGAATTTAAGTATTTCAGCAAGCATCTCACTGTCTCGCCTAGATTTTATTCTCAGAGTCATTTTTACTTCATGTTTGGGGGATACCCCACTTTTACTGCCATCCCCAGATTTCCTATTAGAAGGCTGAAGACCTCCCAGGGATGTCCACATCCTGAATCCCTAAATCTGTGAATATTTTACCTTACCTGGCAAAACGGACTTCGCAGGGATGATTTAAATTAAGGATCTTGAGATAAAGAGATTGCCCAGATTATCTGTGTCAGCCAGACATAACCAGAAGGGTCCGCAGAAGAGGGAGGCAGGAGAGTAAGAGTGCCCAGACGGCAGTGTGATGGAAGCGGAGAGATCTGAAGACGCCACGCTGCTGGCTTTGAAGATGGAGGAAAGGGCCATGAGCCAAAGAATGCAAGTAACCTCTAGAAGCTGCAGAAGGCAAGGAAACAGACTCCCCTAGAGCCTCTAGAAGGAACACAGCCCTGCCAACACCTTAGCCCAGTGAAATACCCTTTGGATTTCTGACCTCAAAACTGTAAGATGATAAATTTGCATTTTAAGTCACTACATTTCCGGCAATTTGTGACAGCAGCAGCAGGAAATTAACACTCCCAGTTTGCAGATGAGGAAACAGAGGCCGGGAGGGCTAAGGAGTTTGTCCACAGTCCCCTGGTAAAAGGCTCCACACAGTGCCCTTGCCGTATTGCTAGACAGTGGTGGGCTCTGAGTCAGACCACCTAGACTTGGCTTCCAGCCCTGCCACTTACTAGCCGTGTATCCATGGGCAAGTTCCATCACCTCGCCTTGCTTCAGCTTCCTTGTCTGTGTTGGTTGAAGGGGAGTGGGACCGCGAGATGGGAGCCTGCCCCCTCAGCAGGCATATGAGCAGGGTTGCAGCCACACCTCCCTGAGAGCGCGCTGCGAGGAATACAGTTAACAGAGGAAAACCCTCAGAACACGGCCTAGCACTAGATAATGTTATCTATCGTGACCACTCTCCTATTTCACCCTCATTTCATCCTTCAGGCTGGGAATTCACATTACCAGCACACTCTGAGACCTGGCCAGTCCTGTCTCTGGTTGTTTGCTCTTTTTTAAACCTTCTGAAGTCATATTTTCATTCATTAGTTTCAGATCCAAACCCTTTTGAGCTGCAGCCATGAAGTGCTCACTCGGGCAGTTGCCACATACCCGCAGGCCGAGCTAAGCTGGCATTCCATTTGCACGCACGCCTCCAGAATACTAATGCAGCCTGGGAGGGATTTTTGTTAAATACATTTTAAAAAAAAACGTTTTTAAAATATATATGGAGAAACTCCCATCTCAATGTAGCTCGCCAGGTGGAATTTGACTTGGGCACTGTTGATCTGAAATGCCACTCTGCTCCCACTTCAGCTGCCTGGGGATGACAAGAGTCCTCCTGCTCCTGGGGCGTTTGCCTCGGTGAACTTCTGGTTGGCTGCCTTTGTGGGGGAGACTGACCCACATCAGAGGAGGTCAGGAACCCACAGCCCGGGCCTCCTCCAGAGGGATTAGAGGGAAGAGCAGCCAGAGTCTGGGCAGTTCTGCCCCGCGAGCCTTTGGAAAAAGGATCACATGCCCTCCCGAGGGCCATGGTCCCCTCTCTGTCCCACTCCCCTCAATCAACACAGACAAGCAAGGCCAGCTAGCGGCTCCACATCGCTCCCCTTCTCCTGGGGCCTAGTTCCCACAAATCTCAACCAGGAAAGAAAAGTTATCCCATCGTGTGTCTGTCCTGCACTTGTGGGGGCAGGGGCAGAAATAAAAGGGAACAACAAAGTAATCCAAATCCTTCAGAGAGGCCTTGCTTAATTCAGCCTTGTCATTAAGCCTTTTAATTTATTAATACATACTAAGCCAAATCTTGATCATCTCAGTTTTCTCCCAAACTAAGAACCAAGGGGCCAAGCTCAGCCTCTTTAGCTGGATTTTGTGTCCCTCCAAATGTGACCCTTTCCAGCCAGCTAAACCCCACCCAGCACTGAGCACACAGGTCCCCTTCAGATGCAGCATCCTGAAGCTCAACAGTCCCCTGCCCCGTGGGAGCAGGCTGTCTAACCCGCCTGAGCCCTGGGACCCCTGCAGCAAGAAGCCCGGCTGCAGCCACGGTGACCTCAGGGAGAAATCCCAACCCGAATTTCATTCGCGCAAATAATGAGTGGGCTGAGCCAGCCTTCCACCCCAGGTGTACCCCAACGATTGCAGGTGTCCCACAGACAAAAACAAGGCATTTCATAGCAGCCCTGTTATCACAGCAAAAGGCTAGCCACAACCCACACGCCCATCCTCAGGAGAATGGATAAACAGTGATCTATTCAAACAGCGGACTCCTAGGCAGCAGTGACAGAGAGCAAGGACCTCTGTACACACATGGGCCAATTCACTGAGTATTTTCTGCATGATTCCATTTACGGGAAGGTCAAAACCAGTCAACAGTGATGAGGTGTGAGTAGTGGTCACTCAGGGAGGAGGCCCTGGGGAGCCCCCTGGGGTCCCAGGAATGTTCTGCAGCTTGATCTGGAGAGTGGTTTATATGGATACTTACAGAAGTAAAACCCATTGTGTGGCACATCTAAGACTAGTGTACTTTGCTGTCGTAAGTTAAACTCCTTAAAAAGTTTAAAAGTATAAAGATATACCTTTGAGCCCCTTCTATGTGCTAAGTCTACAGAGTATCTCAGACAAGACTAACCCTTTAAGCACTTATAGTGGAGTAGGGAAGAAAGTAAGCTCAAATAATACCTGGGGCCGGCCGGGTGTGCAGCGATTAAGTGTGCACGTTCTGCTTCGGCGGCCAGGGTTTCACCGGTTCGGATCCCGGGTACGGACATGGCACCGCTTGGCAGGCCACGCTGTGGCAGGCGTCCCAGATATAAAGTAGAGGAAGATGGGCATGGATGTTAGCTCAGGGCCAGTCTTCCTCAGCAAAAAGAGGAGGATTGGCAGCAGTTAGCTCAGGGCTAATCTTCCTCAAAAACAAAAAACAGGCTGTCTGTGGTCAGTGGGACAGGTAATGAGAGTGGGCCAAGGGTATCAGTATTATCGGGATTTGGAGGAAGTGACAGAATCATCTGATTAAATGCAGTTTTGGAGGCAGCCAGACCTGTGTTCCAGTCCTACCTCTCTTTGTGCGGCCTGGACGCGATGTCTGCCTGGCCTCTTCATCTGTAAGGGGGCATCACAGCAGCTGAGCTCAGGGGTCCTCGAGAGGATGCAAGGAAAGAATGCACACAGACACTCAGGCACGAGGCTGCTGTTGTCCTGCTGCGAGGCGGGGCCTGCCTGTGCCAGGCACTGGGGTTCACAGATGTCAAACAGGCCCTGCCCCCTCCAGCTTCCAGCCCCACCATTCACCCACTCAGCAAACAGCTAACAATCCAGGGGCTGTGTGCATGACACGGATTTTGCCCTAAAGGAGTCGGCAGCCCGGGTGGGGGATCAGACACCTAGGACACAATGTAAAAAGCCTTAAGTGCCAGCCAAGAGGAACAGATAAAGAAGTAGGGGAGGTCAGAGGGCCGGCAGGGCCGGAAACTGAGCTGGGTCTTGAAAGGCAGATAGGACTTGGGCATACAGAGACCACCAGGGAGGGAAAGGCAGGCAGGCAGGCAGAGGGGACGGCGTGAGCAAAGGCCTGCAGGTGGGACATCATGGAGGCAAGAGTGACTAGTCAAGAGTGGCTCAAGAAGAGGCCTCAAAAAGAGGGCCTGGGACAGGGACTTTATCTTTGTGTCAGGAGGTAAGCCCCTGAAGGTTTCAGAGGTCAGAAAGTGAGCATATCAGAGAAGGGATTTAAGATGACAAGTCCGCCAAGAGCAGTGTTTTGGAGGGGCCGTGGGGGAGCGCCTACATCTCTCCAGGGCTGGGGCTGGGGGTCGGATTTACCAAGAAACACCCCAACCCTCACACCCAGCCCCTTTGAGAGACCCAAGCACATATTTCCGCTCGGACAGTGGTCAGGGGCCTGAGTGAAGCTGGAGGGTCTTGAGCGGGTGGCCAGAGTCTTGATCTTCCTGCGCTGGACTAGAGGTGGGGATACACTTCTTCTGGTTCTTATTTCACTTTATTTAATTTTTCTGAAAACAGCCCTATGTCCACATGATTCGGCACTCCAAAGGAATGAAGGGTCTGCAGTGAATGTCCCAGCACCAGCCCGTCCCAGAGGCCCCACAACCACCAACTTCTTGTGACTCCCCAGAGGCCCTGTGTACACACACGAGCAAATGCTCACGTGATTTTCCTGTACTTCTACACAGAGTGGGGCACAGCAGGCACACGGCCCTGCGCCCGCTTCTTTCACAGCAATCCATCTGGGTGACCACTCCACATCCATGCGTGGAGTCTCCCTCATATTTTTTATGGCTGCACAGTATTCCACAGCTCAGAGGGACCATAATTTGTCCCTGGCCCCCTACTGACGAACAGTCAGGCTGCTTCTAATGTTTTGCTATTACAAATGAAGCAGCAGGGACTAACCTGCAGATACCTCCTTCCGTGTACACACTAGTGCATCTGCGGGGCAAGTTGCTGGAAGTGCAGCTGTGGCCAAAGTGTGCAAGCATCTCTAATTTTGCAAACATTGCTGGACAGACAGGATACATCTGAATTGCTCATCTAAGAAATAAGCCAAATTGTTGGGAAAAATACTGACACACTGTAGTTTTAAGGGTGCCCAGACAAAGAAACAGTAGAGAAAAGCCCCATTTTCAGCAGAGCGCTGCATCAGGAGATGGTTCTGGACCCCGATTAGCCCCAACTTCCCCAGTGCCCTGGTCCGTGAACTTGCATTTCCTCACCTGTAAGAGAAGGGCCAGACTGCCTCAGCCCCTCAGCCCTTCCCAGCACAGACGGGCTCTGACGCCCTGGTCCCAGGGCAGGAGGAAGAGTGGACAGTGACTGGAGTCACCATGACACCCAGCCATAATTGGTCTCCCTGGGCAAAGGTGCCAGGGCCCAGGGGAGGAGCAGGCGGGCCACAGAGTGTGCACTAGAAGCAGGCCTGGCGGGGAGGGGGTGGGAGTGGAGAGCCCAAGAGGGTCAAGTGCCTCCAGGCTGACCATCCCATATGAGTGATAAGCACCTCCTGCCGCTTCCGCCGCACAAGCTGTAGGGACACCACAGCCAGGCAAGACACTCAAGCACCACGACAATCACTGCTGTGTCCACATGTTACGTAACATGTGAGCCTGACAGTAATGGCTACCTAAACCTCACTCTTCAAGCAGGTGGCTGGCGGAGGATGGAGGCAGGTCTCTGGATCCCTAGTGTCCTCCCTGTGAGTGAGGACAGCTGGGCAAATGCAGCAAGCAGGGGGCGGGGCTTCCTCCCACCTCCACAAATCCAGCCCATCTACTGAGAAGTGTGAATGAAAGAAATGGTCTTCTGCCCCCCACCGAGTGGAAGACACCTCTCAGCACACCAACGCCAGTGCTGGAGAGGAAGCACCGTCGCCAGCCTTCCCGTCCCCCAGCCCAGGCTCCTCTCCGACAGTCTGGGAGGGACAGGAACTCCTGTCAATCAAGTCATACTTAAACGCACTGAGGCTGTTGCTATTAAACGTTTTCTAACCAATGCACAGTGCATCAACCTTTCTTTGTAAAGCAAATTATGTACTATTTTGGTAAACCTAGATTCTCACACCTCCTATTTGTTCAAAACTCCTGGACAAACTCATGTAGAATACTTCCCCCTCCTAGAGGTGAGGCTGCGACCTCAAATGCCCCAGGAGAGCTCGCGTGGCCTCTGATCCTCTGATCCCCGTGTCTCATGCTTCTGTGGGTGCTCGAGGTGGTCCCACTACCTGGAAAGCCTTCCCCGCCTCCCCCTCGCCAACCTCCACTGTCCATCAGCACCCCCAGCTCAGCCTCCCTTCCCCCAGGGAGCCTTGGCTCCTCAGCCCACCGCAGGCAGAGCAGACTGCTGCCTCCTGGGGCCCCTACAGCTTCGACCTGATCATCTATTATGCACTTTCTAAGACTAAGCATCAGTTCCATCTGCTGGACCTCCCCATGGGACTACAGGCTCTCTGAGGGCACAGCTCTCCTGCGGGGCCACTCAAAGCAGCGAAGGCGCAGGTTTCGAAATCAAAAACCTGGGTGCTTCCTTCTACCACATCTTAGGCAAAGTCCTCCTTCTGAGTCTCAGTCTATCCATCTACAAAAAAACGCAGGATAATTCCAATGTTCCAGGGCTGTTGAGAAGATTAACCGAAACAATGTATATAAGATGTAATTCGCAAACTGCAAAGCCCTACATCAATTCCAGTGAGGATTAGTAATATTACTATCAATTAGTATGTTAGTATTAATTAATATTAATATCCTCATAAACATCCCTCCCCCAACAGCTATCAAAATGATTACCGATGGAATTCAGATTCCCTGTTCATTCTAGATGGAATAAAAAACACAGGTGCTAGAGGTGGAGACCAGAAGCCTCTGCCAGTGGCTACAGCAACAGCAGCCATGGGGTTAGTTATTTTTTCTTTGGAGCTTTCCTGTAAATGATGACCCAGAGGGCTGTCGGGGACAGCACCGCCAGCAGAGTGGAGGTTCTCAGCCACCTGCCAGCAGGACAGGGCCTCCCTGGGTGCATGCAGGCTTCCACAGGGGCTGGAGCAGGAAAAAAACAAAGGTACCAAACTCCACACATGTCCTCCAGGGTGGGGAGGCCATCTGATCTGAAAATCTTTCAGGGTAACAGATGCAGTAACTTCCAGAGTGGAGAGGTCTCACTCCACTCCCTTGGTGGGGGTAGAGGACAGCCATCCTGCGACCACCTACGCCCCGCAGGTACAAGGTCCACAGATCAAGGCTCCCCAGAGAGGAGACTGGAGTCTCCAGGAGGATCACCAAACAGATTACAGGGTGGAAAAGGAGAGAGAGAGAGAGAGAGAGAGAGAGACAGACAGACAGACAGACACACACACACACACACACACACACACACACACCCCATCTCCATCCATCTTCAAGTGTTGGTGAAGACCTGCTAGTGGAAAAGGACACACACACACACACACACACACACACACACACACACACACCCTTCTCCATCCATCTTCAAGTGTTGGTGAAGACCTGCTCTCCCTCCAAAACAGAAACCAGGCCCTCCTCTTGGGGGGCTCAAGGCTTTCTAGCCTGGGACCTCACCTAAGCCTTGTGGCACCAGGAGGTGGGCAAAGGGGTAAGGGAAGCCCCATCACCAAGTTCTCTGACCGCGCAGTGCCCTGTCTGCTGCTCACGCTTGAGTGCCATCCAGCAAAAAGCCTGGGGGCCTCATCTTTCCTGCAGAACTTGAAACATAGCATCAGGGGCTCTGTTTCAGAACTTCTCTGACGCTTTTATATCTATGGCTAACTTTTTAATTTCACGGGTAAGCACTTATGACCTGGTATTATGAGAACAATGAGATAACTCAGGACTATACCTAGAAAGAAAATACACCCAAACCTCAACAGTGATTACTTCTTGGTTATGAAATTTGGGGAGATTTTTATTCTTATCCTCCAATCTTTCCTGTATTCCTAGTTCACTATAATCAGCAGAGAAGCCTATTGTTTTTGAACGGCTGAAACACTGAGATCAACACTGTAAACTTTCCATTAAATATTCACTTAGTTGTGTGTGACTTTTTAAAACGGTAGAGCTGGAAGTGACGCAGGTTGGACACAAAGGTTTTCTGGGTGGGATCTTCCCTCTCTGGCTTCCGCCCCAGAGGAGACGGAAAAGGAGGTGACTGTGGGGCTTCCTGCCTCCCAGGGCAGGCCTGGGACCTCTCAGACCATGGAACGGAGCCTGCCCTTGGGCAGACCCAAGGCTGTTTCACGTGCCCTGTCAGCTCCTGACAACAGCTCAGTTCTAATAACCAATCCTGTTCTGATCGGCCTTAATATCTGTCACCTCTTGAGAATAATTCCAGCTTTATCCTGAGTGGCAATGACATTAACCCATCCAACTGTTCATTTGTTTAGTCAAAAACTATTTCAGCACTTACTCTGTGTAAGACATCATCCCAGACGCTGAGCCATCACTAACCCAAGACTGGAAAAACAGCCAACCAGAGGCCACGCGTCATCCCTCCACGTTCTGCCCAAGCATAGGGTTTCAGGCGCGGACGCTAAAACGGCAGCAGACAGGAATGCGAACAAATGCTGCTGGCGTGTGCAGCCTAATTCCAGCGCCCCCTCCCAGTCCTTAGGCAAAGGAGGGTGGGAGAATGAGTCCCTGCTGGGAATGCTGGCAGCTTGGCTGCACTGCACTCAGGTCCCTGCATCACATCCCACTCGGCAGAGGTGGACGCGATGGGGAGCGAACATGAGAAAACTCCAAACGTGGCAACCACCCCATTCTTTTCTCCACATCACCCTCCCACTTTACTTCTCCCCCTTCCTGTCCTCTCTGAGGCCAAGAAGGTCACATTTGATTAGCATTTATCGAGGGCCTATCAGATGCTGAGCCCCAGTGCCAAACAATTTTATAGACGAGAACGCAGACCTCTGCTTTGCACATGCTGTTCCTCTGCCTGGAACTCACTTTCTCTCCTTATACATGGTGAAAGATTACGTGTCACCCACCTCTCCGAGAAGTGCCTGCCCAGGCAGGAATGCCTGAATATTCCCTCAGAGCACCCATGACAACAGCAGCTGCTGCTGTGCTTGCTGTCTCTCTCCCCCGCTGGACTCAGCTCTGAGGGCAGCTTCCCACGCATGGCCCAGCATGCACACGGCCCGGCATGCACACGGCCCGGGATGCAGACGTGCAACACCTCTTCTGTGAATAAATTACACGGCCTGTAAGGTAATAACAGAAGCCAGTGTTTACTGAGCACGTGCTGCGTGCCAAGCGCTGTGCCCAGTTCCATGCCAACATCAGGTCACGATCCACGACCTGCGTGGTTGCTGCACTATTATTACTCCCATTTTACAGATGAAGGAAATGGCGTCATTTCCCTCTATTTTTAAAGAATGGAAATTAGAACCTGGTACGCAACTTGCCCAAGGCCACAGGACTAACAAAGGAGTGAGGATCTCCAATTCTCTCTCCAGGTCACCAGGACGGCTCAGCATCTCATCTCCCTCTGTCTCCGTGCCCAAAGGGTGATTTCTTTCTCCTGTGCTGCCAGTGACCATTTCTGTACCCCTCCTGAGTTCTCGGCCTCCTCCGTGAAGGCACACAACTCAGCAGACCTCTCCGACTCCTCCCTCACAGCCTACACCCGTCAGCTCCCACACCTGATATGGACCCCCTCAGCTGGGCTTCAGCAGAGGTCTTTTACAAAGACCCCCTAGTCTTTCAGCCCCAAGGCCCAGCGACAAGAGCAGTGGTGTGAACACTGGCCGCAGCCACCCAACTAAGCAGGGAGGCAGAGAAGGTACTCCTCCTCGCTCAACTCACACGTGGGATCTGTAGTTAAACCCAGCTTCCGGGCCCCAAGTCCTGCTCTGTCCCCACTCCCCTCTACTGTATTTAAAGAGCTGATGAGCATGGGGGCACCCTGATGATGGACAGCCTCCCAGTTCATGACTGGGAAAGGGAGCCGCCCACATCCATCCCAGACCTATGGCATGAGACGTCAGCGAGGACCCGTGAGAACTGGGAGAGCCAGAACTTCAGTTCCAGCTCAGTGGAGCCAATTCACACCGGCCACAGAAGCCAGTTTGACAGCAGATACCATTACAATAGCGGACTCCAGAGGCCTGTCCTGAGTCACACAGGGTGGTCAAGACCAGAAGCTGCTAGAAGAAAAGGGAAAGGCAAGAGGGACTAAAAGGATGCCAGCGACCTGAGGAGCGAAGGAGAGGGAAGCCGGTTTCTTGGAGTTATCTGTGGGGATAAAGGAAGGAGGATAAGAGGAGATCGTGCCGTCTTGTAACACACGGCCTAGGATGTCACTTCCTTTTTGAAACCTTCAGGGGC